ACTAGCACGACTAGGCGATAGAAGCATGGACATAATGGGGTCCAAAGTGAGAAAATATTTGCCCGCCTTAGGTTAGGTTCTCAACTTGGGTCCGCATGGCTACCATAGCACAAAGCGGCGCACGATACTGAATGTTGAGGGCAACTTACCGGAAACAACGTGCTCGTAGCCTGTCTTGCAGACGCAAGCTCCTGAACTGGGTTGGTAAACCCTGTTTGCCCCCAAGCATTTGCATTCGAAAGATCCAACTTCGGTGAATGAGCTGCCTCCACAAGCTATGCAGCTGGTTTGCCCCATAGCGTTGGTAAACGAACCCACCTAATCAATTCACAATGCGTACGCATGAAGTCAAGTGCAGGGACAATGCTCTGAAACGCATAACGTCCCAGTGCTTGACAGAAATGCCGACTTTCCAAACAGAACGCACAAGGAGGTTAGGAATACAACCGTTTACTCAAAGTATCTATGATAAATATTTGGGTAAGTACAATTACCGGGCATTGTAGACAGTCTTCGGGGCTTCCCTTTGCGGAATCAGGATTATATGTACCAACGGGGCAGGGAATCATGCTAGATGAACCCTCCGGGCAATAATGACCTGGCGAGCATGGAACGCCTCCATCTCCAACCAAATTTTGTGGATACCTTAGGGGCACAAATGGCGCAACATAGAGACAAACAGAGCTCGGTGTTTAATCGCCGTGGCAGCTGTAAGTGGCTAGTTGCGGGAGTATCTATGGCGTACTTGCTGCTACAGCCCGCTTGGCAGACATAGCCTGGCTCGCAAGGAGTACAGTCTGCGCTCCCATCGGAGTCGCTGTAAGTCCCCTGGCCGCCAACAAGGGAAACACATAAAACACCACCCTTTGACACTCTGAAACATCCTGATCGATTCGAGGATTTGATCCTCATGGGTCCGTGCTTCGTGTCACGGATGCAATACATTGTCAATACTTCTCACCTGTGTACAGGGCTCACAGGCAGTGCTCGCCGAGCTTCGCAACATGTCATATGGATTCATTCGAGTCCCAGCGGGGCAAGCAAAAGCAGCTTTTGCTTCCTCAGGGCAGAAGAAACCTTGGGGGCAGGCTTCAGGTTCAGCTGACATCATGGGGCNGCAGCTTTTGCTTCCTCAGGGCAGAAGAAACCTTGGGGGCAGGCTTCAGGTTCAGCTGACATCATGGGGCAGAAAGACCCTCCAGGGCACGGAATCGGCTTGGCCGATCCAGGCGGACAGTAAGTGCCAGGTAAGCACGGCACGGCTGCTGGGCTCTGAGCACTACAATAGTGACCTCCAGGACAAGGAACAGAGAGGTCAGGAGTTCCTTTGTCTCCGCAGTAGACTCCACCTGTTCAACCCGACAACGACATGAGACAACTTTTGGGTGTGTGCACAGTTTGACTTGTCAAAGCATAGCCGAGCATAAACTCTTAACTTGTCTCACGCCATGGTCAGCTTGCGATACTTTCTGGCACCCACCTGGGCAAGGCTGGCAAGCAGACGAATTAAGTGAGCCCGTTTGAGGATTGTGATACCCCGGGGAACACGGCATAGCTTCACGAGATCCTTGCAGGCAGAAATGCCCCCGTGGACACGTGTTTTCATCTGTCAACTCGCCCGTTCCCTCTTCCGGGCACACCATTCCTGAGGAGGTAGGACAAAGCTAATGTATACTATTACAGCATCAGAAACATCATGCGACAGGTGATCTGCAAGCTCGAGTAGCCCCTTTGCCCTCATAAGGAAGCAACTGCTCCAGAGTTGTCGTACCAGCAGGGCATAACAAGCAACTCGAGGCGGATGATTGCCCTTCTTTCGGATTGTAATAACCCTGCGGACATGCTGCCGGGGTTTGGGTGCCGCGGCTGCAGAAGTGGCCTTTTGGGCACGG